CTTGTGTGAATATATTAGATAAGAGTGAATGGAGACAAGTAGTTTTTAATGAAGGAGCTGTTGGAGTGTGAGCAAAGTAACATTTATGAATGAATTCAGAAAAACTGGTTAGGCAGACTTGAATCCTGGAGGAGGAGTGGAAATGTTTCAGTTGAAGATTAATCTGAATTGTGATGTCAACACACTTCTGGAAAGACAGCAATTGAATGAATAATATAGAATGTATTTCCTCCTTAAGGGTCACTCTGCCTTGGTGGAAGACAGCCACTAAGGTAAAAAAAAAAATATATACAGTGGACCCTCGAGTTTTGAACGTGCCGATTATCCAACTTTTCGAGTTTCAACCGCTTTTTTCGAACCTATTTTGTTCCGAGTATCGAACTCCACCCACTTTTCGAATCGCCAGGAGTCGTGAGCAGTCTGGCTTTGTTGAAGCTTGAGTGAACACTAACCAGCGTGCTCATTCAAACATTTCACTATTAATTCATTGTGTTTAGTGCTTGTGCGACTGTGAAATAAGCTACCATGGGCCCAAAGAAACTTGCTAGTGGTACCCTTGTGATGAAGAAAGTGAGAAACACAATAGACATGAAAAAGGAAATAATACAATAATATGAGAGTGGTGTGAGACTTGTTGAGCTTGCCAGGATGTATGGCAAAAACAAGTCAACTACTGCGTCTATCCTGGCAAAGAAAGAACAAATCAAGGAAGCTTATGTTGTGAAAGGTGTTGATATGCTAACCAAAAATAGACCACAGACAGTCGATCAGGCTGAGAAGTTGTTGCTGGTATGGATCAAGGACAGAGAGATGGCAGGTGATATTGTTTCAGAGATGATTATTTGTGAAATGTCAAGGAAGTTGCCTTCTTCAGTGATTAAGGACATGTGTGCAAAGTGGAATAAGCTGCAAACTTTTGTTGAAAAGTATCACCCTGACCAAGCTGAAACAAGCCATCTCTGCAACAAGTTCAGTGACAGAACCATGTCCCACTTCAGGGAAATGATAGAGAGGCACCAGATACAGAGGACTGTGGACAGTTATTTTGTGAGACAGGGGTCCAGTGACTCAAGCTGATCCTAGTAGCATTAAAAGACAGAGAAGGGAAGTAACCCCAGAGAGGGCTTTCATACCTGAAGTCCTTATGGAGGAGGATTCTCTTTCCAAACACTAACCCCAACTCCTCCTCCTCTCCTCCCTATCTTCCAGATGCCATCACCAATCTTCGATAAAGGTAAGTACAAATGTTAGTAATAAATTTAGATGAATATTAAAATAACTGTACTATGTATGTTAGTTGTATGTAAAACTATAATGTAATCCCTATAAAATGCATTTTTTGTGACTATTTTTGGGTTTCTGGGATGGATTAATTGTATTACCATTATTTCTCATGGGAAATATTGGTTCGGCTTTAAAACTAGCTCTTGGAACGGATTAAGTTCGAAACTCGAGGGTCCACTGTATAATAATAATAATAATAATAATATTACGTATGTTATTTTGCTTCAACGGCTATCTCCCACCTTGGTAGAGCAACTCAAAAGGAAACACATTCCCTATCATTCGTTCAATCTGTGTGTTGCCAGAAGTGTGTTGACATCACAATTCAGATTACTCTTCAACTTCAACAACTCCATCCCTTCTTCAGACACAATTCAGATTACTCTTCAACTTCAACAACTCCATCCCTTCTTCAGACACAATTCAGATTACTCTTCAACTTCAACAACTCCATCCCTTCTTCAGAGTGCAGGACTCTAGTCCAACTGACAGGTTTCCTTAAATCCCTTCATGAATGTAACATTGCTCACACTCCAACAGCACATCCATTAAAAAAGACACTTTCTCCATTCACTCCTAACATGCTCACACAAGCCTGCTGATGCTTAATAATAATCTTTATTTCTATATGCACAATATATACAGGCCTAGCTGACAAACTCAAAGCCCCGTTTACCTTCCTCCCTCCCTCAAGGAGTTCCTGGGATGACTCCTTTCCCTCCATATCATTAACCCTCTTCATCATCCTATCCCTCCCTGTCCTCTCAAAATGCCTCAACCACATTAGCAACCCCTTCTCAGCCCTCTGAATTATACCCTACGTGACCTCACATTGTCTTTTAATTTCTACCCTCCGAACCTTCTGCATAACATTAACATTACACATTGCTCTCAGACATGACTGCCACTGCTTCTAACCTTCTCTATGCATGCATGTTTACACATATATACATAGATAAGAGATGATAGAAATAAGAGATAGTGAGAGAGAGAGAAATTGCAGAGGGCAACTTTATCGAGATTTTTTTCCTGTGGAGAAGCTAAAGAAGCCTGTCCAGAGGCAAAATGTCTCAATGAAGTTCCTCTCTACAATTGTGACTTTTCACCACTTGTCTGCTTTGTGCCACATCTTCCCCTTCCCAACCCAAACCTTCCCCCCCCCCCCCCCACACACATACATATGCCACTTAATGAATGCCTTGTGCATAAATGAAGAAATCAAGTGGAAAACTGTGCCACACCAAATGACACCAGACCATTAAAAAGTTAAGAAACTGTATGCCATCGACAGTGATGATCAGGCAAGGCTACATTATACATAGAAGGAAAATAGAGCATGAAACTGCAGCCAACTGAGGGACTTGTCAAACATCACATGAGACACATATATATATAAATGTATATTCATTTTTCCTTTTGGGCCACCCCACCTCAGTGGGATACGACCAGTGTGTTGAAAGAAGAAAGAAATGTACATGTTCATCATTAAATGGAAATTTTGACTGAGGTTTAATGTTACTTGTATGACTAAAAGTATGAGAGAAAAAGATGAAAATGTCCTAATTTAGTTAAAAACTTTTAGACATTATTTTTGCATTTTTACATTCAGCATGTATTTACATTAAGGCATTTTGAATAAACAGGCTTGCTTGGTTTACTCACAGCATGATATTTACACACATGCACCAGCAATATCTGTTCTGGAAGAGAAAATCTTAAGAAAGGTATTTTATGACACATTAATTTATGCTGGGTTTATAGTCTAACAAACCACTGGTATAAAAATATCTACTGATATGCTATTGAAAAAATTCATTATGCACTACACTTGGAAACATCCACATTAATTTATCCTTGGAGTGTAAAGGCAAGATGTGGCAATAAATTACTATCTAAATATTAATGAAAATAAATAATTTTTATATATTGTATAATCAAACATTTTTTCAAGCTATATTTCGCATTCTGATTATCTCAATTATGTCTGAATATTTTTGCATAGGCACTGTTGCTAAACAGAATTATTAATAACAAGATTTCACTAGAGGCACAATAAAAATAGGTCCTGCCATAAATTTAGTGAGATCTACAATTCCATAAGTTACATACGTACAAAAAAAAAAAAATTCTGGTGCCAGATTCCATTAGTGCCATTAAAGCTAATTCTTATATTAATAATGAAACAGACAAATTTACTACTTTTAATATATAAATACATAACATAATTCAGATATTGTAGACACATGAATGTAACTTTTCTAGAAACTTGGTAAAGCTTAAAAAAAAAAAAAAAAAAAAAAAAAAAAAAAAAAAAAGCTGGAAAATGTAAATAATACCATTTACAAATATTTAAAACACTTTCATCTGCATAAACACCAGTGTCAGAAATGCATACATAAAAGCACACACTTAAATTTTTCTCTATTATGTAATGTATATATCCTACTTTACTGGACATCCCAGGATACATGGGGCAGTCACTCTCTTCCTCCAATTTTCTTTAAAATTGCTACAGCTACATGCAAGTTCATCTTAAAGTCTATGCATGACTGACAGCTTGGATTACCAATAACTTGGTTATTGTAACTAGTATCTGTGACCAGTTTCAAGTGCAACTCTTACAGCCCAACCTGTGGATATATTTCTCTGGTGACTGCCTTTTCAGCTAACCTGTTTTTACCTGCAGTCTGGAGGCCCATATAAACATGACAGCCCAACTGACCGAGCACTTCCAGCAGAAAGTGTCAGCTTTCCTATTGAAGGTGATTGACTTTACAACCCTACTCTTCGAGTTTATTCTACACTTCTCCTTGTACCTCTTAATCAAGTATGTTATTTCAGTGGAGATCAGGTACTCAGCCTGAGAGTATTTTCCATGTATAGTCCTCTTTACACAAGGTAAACTGGGAGGGAACGTCTGAGAGGCGGAAAACTGAAACTCGGGGACACCAGTGGAAGTTTCAGACACAGATGAGCCACAGGGATGTTAGGAAGTATTTCTTCAGTCTCAGAGTGGTTGGGAAGTGGAATGATCTTGGTGAGGAAGTGGTGAAAGCAGGCTTCATACATAGTTTTAAGTCCTGATACAACAGGACCTATGAAGCTATCAGTGAATGAATATGAAGAGTGGCAAGTTAAGAGGCTGGGCCAGGCTCTGAGAACTGATCCCTGTAACCACAAACAGGTGAGCACAATTTTCACAAAAAAGTGACATGTGGCGAATTTATCATTTTCTTCTCAGCTCCCCATGACCAGTAAGAGTAAAAACTCGAGGAAATGAGTTTTAGGCTTAAAATAAACCTTGTATTAATTTTCAATCATATTTGTAAACTGATTATTCATTTTGACCACGACCTGCTCACCCTGTCCTGGAATGTCTTTCATGCCTAATACTACAAATCTTATAATTGTATTTCTATAGTTCTCAAGTCATGACATCAGTATGATGACCAAAGTGTTAAAAGTTTTAAGGGCTATGCTGAAATTTATAAAATTAATTTCTGTACTTAAATTTTATCTATTAATGATCCAAAATACTGATATATTTTCTCAATAAGTGTACACTATTTATTAAGTGCAAAATTAAAATTCATAAATATGGCAATGCAACATTTTTATAGGACGTTGGGGCATTATCTGAATTATTGTTAAGTCAATAGAAACCTTCACAAAAGTGAAAATTCTGATTGAGGCATTCAAAGTGTGAAAGGCATGAAGGAGGGAGCATTATAGCCTTTATTATGAACACACCATGATGAGAGAATGACTAGAGCCAGAAAGGTGCCAGCCTTGCAGTGCAATTCATTTCATATAATAACTTTGCAAGTGGTGCACCTTAAATGGAAAAATAAATACTTGAGTTTCTAGAGACCTGAATTCATTACACCACTGAAATACTGCTAACAATACCTAGTCAACTGGCTGGAAAATGAAAAGCATAGCAACCAATTATTAATTCAAAGAACACTGGAAGAATTTTATATGATTAGTGAGAAAGAATTCAGGTGTATGTCAATATAAACTGTCAGACTGAATAAACCAGTGTTCTAATTATCAAGGATGCAAGTACAGTAATCTCTAACATTTTAATACCTTCAGTTATGATATACTACAGCATGAAAGGGACACAAAAAAATATTCTCCAAAATTTGCATTAAAAATTATCAACTTAATGCAAGAAATTTCATATACTGAAGGAATTTATATCTCTAAATGCTGTAAATGATATGCTATATCAGAGTCAAACAATGAGTACACCACAAAACCTTCTGCTATTAGGATTAACCTCATTATATTTGCACAGCACCAATTTACCTATAATTCACTTAATACTTATCTATTATTACGTAAAACTTTGCTACCACATCACATTAAGAATGACACAAAGAAGAAAAAAAATGCCATCATCTTCTATATAACTACAAATCTGTGTGCCCTACTGCCAGTTTCAAGAGACAGCACTTGTTCATGCCATGGGCATAAGCCATAAATGAAAATAATATTTTACAAAGAGGACAGCTTAACCTGCTGTTCAGTTGGGAAACAACATAAGCACCAAAGTATAAATCACACTTCTTCAGAATTCTATATTTCTTAAGCATGAAGTGATCTTCATTTATAATAAGGCAATAACTGAAATGGTAAACACGATCTTTATATATACACACACCTAAAGCCTAGTGAAAATTAAATATGAGCTGAAAAATTACTTGAGACTATCTGCAGTGCTCATTTGATATGATTATCATCAGAGAAGATATTTATACCCACACACCATGTGGATTCTTTGATGTGGGAACAGCATTTTCTAGTTGTCTTGGAGACCCTATCATGCGACGACTGCTTCCAGGCTTTGATGCTCCTGAAGTAAAAAATATTAGATAGAATTACACAAACTTTAAAAAAAAAAAAAAAAAGTGGGACCTTTCATCTAAATTAAATGGCAAGAGGAAAATCCTTTGTAAAATGCAAATGAAGTAGGTACAATAAATATAAAGAAACTGGTAACAAAATAATACAATCGATTTCTATTACCACGAACTAATTTGAGGCGTAGGGTGGAGTGCCATAACCAGATTTAGCAAAACTAAGGAACCCCCACCAACACACACACAAAATAAAGAAAAAGTAGCAGCAGCAGTGTCAATAATAATAATAAAAAGTAAATAAATAATAATGCAATACTTACACTAACTGTAGAATAACATTTTTGAACACTGAATGAACTTGAATATAGGCCAAGGTTTTAAACCCAAATTAGTAATTTAGGTATTTTTAAAATGTTGAAATCAATAAAATGTAATTCCTGCAGTAAAGAATTTAAAATGAGAATGGTACACTGTGTGAAATATGTACTGAGGTACTTATTTAGGAAAAATCTCACTTAAGAAAATTTTTCAAGCCAATACAGAGGTGAGAATAAGCAGGGTACATACAGTATTGAAGGGAAACTGGTGCAGGGATCGCCCTAGGAAAGGGCAACTCCTACCCTGCCTTACCTCCATCATCCTCATTTGCTCCATCATCTCTAAATGCCCAACCTACCTGAACAACTCCTACTCAGCAATCTGGAAAATACTTCTAATAACCTCCACCACCTCCTAACCTCCAAACTACAAATTCTCTGCATAATATTCACACCACACACTGCCCTCAGACATGAAATCTGCCTCCAGCTTCCTCCATGCTGCAACATTCACAACCCATTCTTTACAACCATGTGTGTTGATACCACTATACTCTCATACATTTCCCTCTTTGCCTTCATGGATGATGTTCTTTGTCTTGACAAATGCATCAGAAAACTACCCACCTTTTTTCCCTCAATTCTATGTTTCACCTCATCTTTCATGAATTTATCTTACACGAAAAGTTATTTTTTAAATAGTTTTCAGGGTTTAGCTCTAAAAGAAAAGTACGATAACCATTTCAGAAATTAGAAACTTGACAGGATTCCGAATAACAGGATTCAAATATACAGTAAACCTTAATAGGCAACTGTTATATTAGAACAACCCTAAAAAATAGCAATCGAAGCACCTAATATAGTACTTATCACAATTTACTGATATACTGCAATAAACATTGAAAATAAATCACTTACAAGTACAATTTACCCAGTGAATTTTGCTTATGATTTTAAAAATCCATTATTTTGAGAGGTTAGTGTACTGCATTACTAATAAATAACAGAAATCACAAAAATAGGACATAGATAAAATGTAAACAAAAACATTAAACCAGTCAATATCTTTTTTTTTTTTTTTTTTCAACAAGTTGGTCATCTCCCACCGAGGCAGGGTGACCCAAAGAGAAAGAAAATCCCCAAAAAGAAGAAAACTTTCATCATCATTCAACATTTTCACCTCACTCACACATAATCACTGTTTTTGCAGAGGTGCCCAGAGTACAACAGTTTAGAAGTATATACGTATAAAAACACACAACATATCTCTCCAAACTGCCAGTATCTCAAACCCTCCTTTAGAGTGCAGGCATTGTACTTCCCATTTCCAGGACTCAAGTCTGGTTATATAAAATAACCGGTTTCTCTGAATCCCTTCACTAAATATTACTATGCTCACACTCCAACAGATAGTCAGGTCCCAAATACATTTTGTCTCCATTCACTCCAATCTAACATGCTCACGCACGCTTGCTGGAAGCCCAAACCCCTCGCCCACAACACCTCCTTTACCCCCTCCCTCCAACCTTTTCGAGGACGACCCCTACCCCGCCTTCCTTCCCCTACAAATTTATACGCTCTCCATGTCATTCTACTTTGATCCATTCTCTCTAAATGACCAAACCACCTCAACAAACCCTCTTCAGCCCTCTGACTAATACTTTTATTAACTCCACACCTCCTAATTTCCACACTCCAAATTTTCTGCATAATATTTACACCACACATTGCCCTTAGACAGGACATCTCCACTGCCTCCAACCACCTCCTTGCTGCAGCATTTACAACCCAAGCTTCACACCCATATAAGTGTGTTGGTACTACTATGCTTTCATACATTCCCTTCTTTGTCTCCATAGATAACATTTTTTGCCTCCACATATACCTCAATGCACCACTACCTTTTTTCCTTCATCAATTCTATGATTAACCTCATCCTTCATAAATCCAACCGCTGACACGTCAACTCCCAAATATCTGAAAACATTCACTTCTTCCATACTCCTCCTCCCCAATTTGATATCCAATTTTTCTTTATCTAATTCATTTGATACTCTCATCACCTTACTCTTTTCTATGTTCACTTTCAACTTTCTACCTTTACACACATTCCCAAATTCGTGCACTAACCTTTGCAATTTTTCTTTAGAATCTCCCAAAAGCACAGTATCTTCAGCAAAAAGTAACTGTCACTTCCCATTTTGTATTTAATTCCCCATAATTTAATCCCACCCCTCTCCCGAACACTCTAGCATTTACTTCTTTTACAACCCCATCTATAAATATATTAAACCACCATGGTGACATTACACATCCCTGTCTAAGACCTACTTTTACTGGGAAGTAGTCTCCCTCTCTTCTACACACCCTAACCTAAACTTTTCTGCTTTGGCCCACAAAATGAATAATGAAAATTATGTACAATGTCAAGTACAGATAAAATGAAGGTGAATGTCCCTTAAAATTTACCATTACAAAAGCACAAATTCAAAATGAAAACTGAATGCAGAAGATGCATCGATTCAAAATATTAATTGAACTTATGAGTCTTCTGAAAGTAAGAGCATTTGACAATGTAATGGAAGGCAAGGACAAACAAAAATAAATACAGGATTAAGATATCAGTTAAGGATGTGTGTTTAAGATGATTAAACAAGATAATATCTGTGTAGACTCAAAGCAGGAAAGGTATTCTTTGAAGATTGAGACACATATGCAACATATGGGAATCTTTATTCAGGAAACGTTTCGCCACATAGTGGCTTCATCAGTCCAATACAAAGTAGACTGATGAAGCCACTGTGCGGCGAAACGTTTCCCGAATAAAGATTCCCATATGTTGCATAAGTGTCTCAATCTTCAACTTGTTGGCTTTTCAAACCATTCATCACATAGGTATTCTTTGAAATAACTAGTCCCTAAAATAGCAAAAAAGAACATTTCTGTACTTATAGTCTGTTAGAAAAGGTGAAGTCACTTTCACCCATGAATTCGAGGGGAAAACAGCAGGATCTAGAAATGCTGTCCAGTGTAGATATCTAAATTATGGGCTTCTTGCGATTTATTCCACCAATGATATTGAGATTGTTTCATTTACAATACAGTATGTACTGCACTGTTTACCTGGAGAGAGTTCCGGAGGTCAACGCCCCCGCGGCCCGGTCTGTGACCAGGCCTCCTGGTGGATCAGAGCCTGATCAACCAGGCTGTTGCTGCTGGCTGCACGCAAACCAATGTACGAGCCACAGCCCGGCTGGTCAGGAACCGACTTTAGGTGCTTGTCCAGTGCCAGCTTGAAGACTGCCAGGGGTCTGTTGGTAATCCCCCTTATGTATGCTGGGAGGCAGTTGAACAGTCTCGGGCCCCTGACACTTATTGTATGGTCTCTTAACGTGCTAGTGACACCCCTGCTTTTCATTGGGGGGATGTTGCATCGTCTGCCAAGTCTTTTGCTTTCGTAGTGAGTAATTTTCGTGTGCAAGTTCGGTACTAGTCCCTCCAGGATTTTCCAGGTGTATATAATCATGTATCTCTCCCGCCTGCATTCCAGGGAATACAGGTTCAGGAACCTCAAGCGCTCCCAGTAATTGAGGTGTTTTATCTCCGTTATGCGCGCCGTGAAGGTTCTCTGTACATTTTCTAGGTCAGCAATTTCACCTGCCTTGAAAGGTGCTGTTAGTGTGTAGCAATATTCCAGCCTAGATAGAACAAGTGACCTGAAGAGTGTCATCATGGGCTTGGCCTCCCTAGTTTTGAAGGTTCTCATTATCCATCCTGTCATTTTTCTAGCAGATGCGATTGATACAATGTTATGGTCCTTGAAGGTGAGATCCTCCGACATGATCACTCCCAGGTCTTTGACGTTGGTGTTTCGCTCTATTTTGTGGCCAGAATTTGTTTTGTACTCTGATGAAGATTTAATTTCCTCGTGTTTACCATATCTGAGAAATTGAAATTTCTCATCGTTGAACTTCATATTGTTTTCTGCAGCCCACTGAAAGATTCGGTTGATGTCCGCCTGGAGCCTTGCAGTGTCTGCAATGGAAGACACTGTCATGCAGATTCGGGTGTCATCTGCAAAGGAAGACACGGTGCTGTGGTTGACATCCTTGTCTATGTCGGATATGAGGATGAGGAACAAGATGGGAGCGAGTACTGTGCCTTGTGGAACAGAGCTTTTCACCGTGTTGCCCTGGGTTGTGTAACTGATGGGTTTCTAGATGGGTGGTGATCTTGCTTCTTAGGACCCTTTCAAAGATTTTTATGATATGGGATGTTAGTGCTATCGGTCTGTAGTTCTTTGCTGTTGCTTTACTGCCCCCTTTGTTGAGTGGGGCTATGTCTGTTGTTTTTAGTAACTGTGGGACGACCCCCGTGTCCATGCTCCCTCTCCATAGGATGGAAAAGGCTCGTGATAGGGGTTTCTTGCAGTTCTTGATGAACACGGAGTTCCATGAGTCTGGCCCTCGGGCAGAGTGCATGGGCATGTCATTTATTGCTTGTTCGAAGTCATTTGGCATCAGGATAACATCGGATAGGCTTGTGTTAACCAAATTTTGTGGCTCTCTCATAAAAAATTCATTTTGATCTTTGACTCTCAGTCTGGTTAGCGGCTTGCTAAAAACTGAGTCATATTGGGACTTGAGTAGCTCACTCATTTCCTTGCTGTCATCTGT